CAGACATAAAAGTCTACAAACTGTGTGATTCCATTCAATGACAATCTTGAAAAGGCAGAACCATGAGCACAGAGAGCAGATCAGAGGCTACCAGGAATGGGAGAAGGAACCTTCTGGATGACGAAAAGCATCTATATCTTCACCCACCTTGTTGGCTGCATAACTGTTTGCCTTTCCAAAACTCCACAAAATGTGATTTTTCCTGAAGGCAAACTAAATCTTGCTTGTCTTGGATCCTCCAGGAGTCCACTGGGGCATTGCCACAAAGGGGAAGCCTTTCCTGAAGGCTGCCAGGCTCCTTCTTCATGCCTGGAGTGGGGGAGCCTATATTTCTCTTGCTTAGAGGATTCAAAGAATACTGGTGTGGGAGTGGATATCATGGGGGAGTGTGTTCAAAATGCAGACTGATCTGGAGAAGTGAACTTTGTAGGATGGGGGTGAGCTGGAGGTCTGCAGTGGCAGAGGTGCTTCAGGGGTTCTGAGGCAGGCATTATGTTTGTATTGTGACTGGCGGTTACTCCCTGCCCCAAGGTAGGGATGGGTGGGTGGGCAGTCCTTAGTGCTGCCGACCAATGGTTTCCAGCTCAGCCTGCCAGGCCCATGCTCCCTGGGCACAGCAGCCATGTGACTGACCTTGCCCCATGTTAGTAGATATGACAGCCACCTCTGGCTAGGGCCTTTTACTGTCAGAATTCTTTTCCCCTTGTTCTCTTTTCCTTTGCCAAGACTGCTGACAATGTTTGAGACGGTGCCCAGGTCCTGGGGTGTATCGTTTATTTACTCCATTCATTTGGTCTGTTAATAAATTCATTTGCATGCTATGACTTGCCAGTGATGATTTATTTCACTGAGTGCCTGCTCGATGCTAGGCACTTCTTCTGCTGGGATGACACCAGTGAACGGCACTGGCTTACCCTTGTCACCTGCTCACAGTCAACAGAGACAGACATTAATCAATTCGTTATCAATTGTAATTGGAGTCTATCAGATTCTCTGCTTTCAGCTGAAGGAGCCTTCTAGCACATGTTTGGATCATTGAATTCCTATCACAAAATCCCCTTTCCTGTCCTGACACCTAATTGCAGCAGTATAGTTTTCCCTTGGTGATACTCTTGAATACAATGCCACATTGCCTCCCCCACAGCAGGCTGGCTGCTCCAGTGTAATTTACACACTTCAAGGCTTCCATCCTTCTCAGGGAGCACATGGTCAGCAGCATTTGAAATCTGTAGCTGGGAAGGCACTAAGCTGCAGTCTGCCCACAGATCATGGCACAGGGGACAGCTGCAGCTTCTAGGGCCACAAGAGTGACACGTACATAAACTTGGATCATAAAGTGGTACTGAATTGGCCCTGTCCGAGAAGGGAGAGGCATGCACGGATGTCTATGAAGAGCTGGGAAATGTGGAGAATGAAGGCCTGTCCTAGGAACTCTGGGGATCGATGTCACCATGCAAACACTTGAGGACATTTATTCTGATCCTTCTCAGTAAATAGCAGTGTCTGAAAACCATCTGCTTTGCACAGCTACATGTGATGCCTGACCTTAACCTGGGTCTTGTGATGAATGGGAAAGAAATACTGTAAAGGACATTATTGGATCAACGAGCAAAGTTGGAATATGGGCCTAGATTGCATACCCCATATTTTATCAATATAAACTTATGAATTTGGTAACCATCTGTGGTTATGTAAGATAATATCCCTACATATATAGTATATAGGGGTAATGGACTACAGTGTATGAAACTTATGTACAGATGATTCAGAAAATAATGTATCTGTATACAGGTGCTTTCAAATGTCTTTAAAAGCCCTCTGCCTATCAGGCTGTTTGGCACAGGTCAATTTAGTTTTCTTTCCATTCTTTGTTTACAACAGGAATCCTTGTCTTCTTCCTCTCAGGAATCTCTCTAGATTTTTCATCTCATGGTTTTCTGAGCTTGGACTAATGGGTAGACATTTTCAAGACATTTTCAAGGTCTTCTGTAGCAGAGATCTATTTTAGTTATGGGAAAGGATGACCTTTCATCAGTATGTCCGTCCAAAGGTGGGAAAAGCCGGAGCTATAAAAAGTGCCATAAAGTGTTCTGGCACAAGCCTCATTCTGCAGTTACTAGCTACTTGACCTTCCAAGCTATTTAACCTCTGGGAGGTTGGATTTCCTTGTCTGTACAGTGGGCATCTCCCAGTAGCAATGTCAGAGGACCAGAAGATTAATGATGTTTGGCACAAAATGCCTGTTCAATAAAGGTAAGTTATTACTCTAGCTGTTTTTATAACATCAAGACCCAGAGAGAGACTTAATTATTGTTATTATCCTATTTGTATAATAATTTTGATTTGGTAGAGACATTAATAATCATATTAATGACAATGGTTTCCATTAATTCAGGAGTTCCTTCAATCCAGTCACTTCTTGTTACAGGCATGAACTCATTTAACCCCAGGACGCCTCTCTCAGTAGGGTTCATGAGCCCATTTCAAAGATCAACCCATTGAGGGTTGGCGCATTAAGAAACTGTGTAGGGTCTCCCACTCCGCCCACATTCCTGTGCTCACACGCAGATGAGGAAACTGAGGCTTAGAGACGTGAGGCCCAGACTTGGCTGACTGTGAGCAGACGCTGCAAACCTGGCTCCCCTTCCTTGGGCCGGAGCGCCGGCCCGACAGCCCGGGCAGCCGTAGTTCCTGCGACTAGTCCTTCTGCTGTGTGGGGGGAATAAATGATTTGGTCTACACAGTGCTTGGAGCCAGCGCTGTTGCCGGGGGCCTGCGTCCGGGGTTCTAGGGGGCAGGACGAGGGGTTCGGGCGCCTGCGTTGCACTAGCTCGCTCGCTAGCGCCGAGCTGCTGCAGTCCGGCTCGGCCTGGCCCCGCTCCACCCCGGCCCCGCTCCACCCCGGCGCTCCCAGCGCGCCACGCCCCCTGCGCCCCCCACTGCCGGCGCGTCGCGCCCAGCGCCCCTAAGCGCCACGCCCTGCGACCCCGAGCCACGCCTTGCGCCCCCCTCACCGCCCGCCACGCCCCGCGCCCAGGCAGCCCCGCGGTCCGGCCTGTGGCGCTGACGGCGGCGAAGGCGGCAGCGGGAGGAGGAGCAGGAAAAGCGGCCGGGGGAGGAGGCGGAGGCGGCGGAGGCGGGCGGAGGCGGGCGGGGCCGGACGGGTTTAAAGCCCATTCAGGGAGTGGGGAGGCTGGGAGGAGGCAGGAAGGGACGGCAGCGGTTCGCGGGCGTAGGGTTCGCCGCTCGGAGGCCGCGGACACCCGCGGGGAGCTCAAAGTTTCCGCACAGCCCCTGGGCCGCTGCGCGCGGGCCGCCCTCGCCCCGCGGGGTTGGGAAAGGATGACCTTTCATCAGTATGTCCGTCCAAAGGTGGGAAAAGCCGGAGCTATAAAAAGTGCCATAAAGTGTTCTGGCACAAGCCTCATTCTGCAGTTACTAGCTACTTGACCTTCCAAGCTATTTAACCTCTGGGAGGTTAGATTTCCTTGTCTGTACAGTGGGCATCTCCCAGTAGCAATGTCAGAGGACCAGAAGATTAATGATGTTTGGCACAAAATGCCTGTTCAATAAAGGTAAGTTATTACTCTAGCTGTTTTTATAACATCAAGACCCAGAGAGAGACTTAATTATTGTTATTATTCTATTTGTATAATAATTTTGATTTGGTAGAGACATTAATAATCATATTAATGACAATGGTTTCCATTAATTCAGGAGTTCCTTCAATCCAGTCACTTCTTGTTACAGGCATGAACTCATTTAACCCCAGGACGCCTCTCTCAGTAGGGTTCATGAGCCCATTTCAAAGATCAACCCATTGAGGGTTGGCGCATTAAGAAACTGTGTAGGGTCTCCCACTCCGCCCACATTCCTGTGCTCACACGCAGATGAGGAAACTGAGGCTTAGAGACGTGAGGCCCAGACTTGGCTGACTGTGAGCAGACGCTGCAAACCTGGCTCCCCTTCCTTGGGCCGGAGCGCCGGCCCGACAGCCCGGGCAGCCGTAGTTCCTGCGACTAGTCCTTCTGCTGTGTGGGGGGAATAAATGATTTGGTCTACACAGTGCTTGGAGCCAGCGCTGTTGCCGGGGGCCTGCGTCCGGGGTTCTAGGGGGCAGGACGAGGGGTTCGGGCGCCTGCGTTGCACTAGCTCGCTCGCTAGCGCCGAGCTGCTGCAGTCCGGCTCGGCCTGGCCCCGCTCCACCCCGGCCCCGCTCCACCCCGGCGCTCCCAGCGCGCCACGCCCCCTGCGCCCCCCACTGCCGGCGCGTCGCGCCCAGCGCCCCTAAGCGCCACGCCCTGCGACCCCGAGCCACGCCTTGCGCCCCCCTCACCGCCCGCCACGCCCCGCGCCCAGGCAGCCCCGCGGTCCGGCCTGTGGCGCTGACGGCGGCGAAGGCGGCAGCGGGAGGAGGAGCAGGAAAAGCGGCCGGGGGAGGAGGCGGAGGCGGCGGAGGCGGGCGGGGCCGGACGGGTTTAAAGCCCATTCAGGGAGTGGGGAGGCTGGGAGGAGGCAGGAAGGGACGGCAGCGGTTCGCGGGCGTAGGGTTCGCCGCTCGGAGGCCGCGGACACCCGCGGGGAGCTCAAAGTTTCCGCACAGCCCCTGGGCCGCTGCGCGCGGGCCGCCCTCGCCCCGCGGGGACCCGCGCCCGCCCCGGCCGCGCCGAGGGTCTCCGGGGGCCGCGCGGAGGCGGCCGGGAGCGGCGCCGCGGCAGGTACGGAGTTGGCGGGGAGCGCGGCGGCAAGTTACTTTGTGGTCGGCGCGGCCGGGCCCGGCGGCGGTGGCTGGCGGTCCCCGCGCCGTCATTGTCTGCGCTGGCCGCCTGGGCCGGGACTCCGGGCACCGCGGGGGCGCGGCGGGCGGAAGGGCGTCGCCTCCGGGCTGGGGGCTGCGGCGCCCGGGGCCGAGGCCGGCGCGCGCCGGGGCCGGGCTCTTCGCGCCGCGTTTCCCGTTTCCGACCGCGGGAAGCCGGGCGGTGCCCTCCTGAGCCATCCTGCCCGACGCCGGCCGCCCGCGGGCGGGCTGGGCTGAGCCGGGCTGGGGGCTGCGCCCGCCTGGCAGTCAGGGCCGAAACCGCGCTCCTGGGGGCGCCCGCCGGGGGGGCGTAGGCGCACCCGCAGCCCCGGTGCGCACGCCCGCGGCTGGACAGTAGGGCTTGGCACTCCCTCGCCGAGCGCAGCCCAGCCTCGGATCCGTCCCTTTTGGTCCTGTGAGTGACCCCGTTATCCGCCTCTGGGGCCTAACACCAAGTTGGAGGGCTCGCGGATCAGCCACCCACCAGCCGTGGAAATGTGATAAGAGTAGAACCGTTCGCAGAAGGAAATTTCTGATGCAACTCTCCGTCTTTGCTGATTGCCTCTGCAAACGCCTGCTTGGCGACAGCCCTGGAACATGTGCATTATGGAAATGAGGGTATTCTCTACTTTTTATTGTGTTCGTCTGTTTTGGGGATTGGAAGAAACTCAAACTTTTTGTCGCTTGCTTTGACCGGAACGTTGGTGATGTCCGGGAGCCACAGGTGTCCTGGATCTTGCTGATGCATTCCAAAGAATGCTTTCTTGGAAACGTTGTACCCAGTTTCATTCAAGAGATGCACAGAAAAGACCAAAACAAGTAGCGCTCGTGAGTAAATACGTTATTGCACAACTTTCTCTTTGCTGCTGTTTATGAGACCAGGCCCAGAACACTTTGTTTCTGAAAATGCTGATTCAGCCGTTTGGAGCTCCTGTTTCAGGAATGGTGCTCTATTTAACGTTTCGCTCAGTTTTACTAAGAACACATGTTGGTAGCGCTGCTAGCAACAGGCGTTGACTACGGTTTACAGCACAAAGCTGGTGATCTTTCAGAAGAGCTGACCTTTTTCTTTCCAAGAGGAAAAATAGGTAGAATCTAGGTTTCTGTAGCAGAAGAAATTGAGTTAGGGCGATGGTGAAGTGTCTTTTAGGGGAGTATTTTATTAAGTAAAAGCGTGTTTCCAGGAATGATTGTAGATGACTAGGTTTTTCTGTAAAAAATAAAACTCTAGAATTAGTGCATATAATATTTCAGTTTTATTGAGAACACTTGAAAGAGAAGGGCCACACAAGCCAATCCCCAGATTACAGGGAGGGAATCTGAGGACAGAGGGAATTACACACCCAGCAAGCCTTGCTTGTGTGACTGAGAAGTGTCGGACTCCTACTTCTGTAGCATTTCACAGTTTACGAGATATGCTCAAGGCCTTGTTGCTTTTAATCCTCTAAAGCTCCTGATCTCCGTTTTACAGGTATGGAAAGCAAAGCTCAAGAGGTTAAATAGCAGGTTAAATGACAGAGCTGTCACCATAGCCTAAGCTTTGGATTTTTTCAGTCCTGTGTGTTTTATGCTTCTGACAAGTACATCTGTCTCTGAAAGCAAAATACCCAGAAGAGGTTCCCCTGCCAGTCACACACCTGGAGAATTAAGAGGCTCTGTTACCATTCTGGTGGCTTTCAGCCTTCCAGATTTCAGCCATATGGCTGGGCCATTAGGAATATTTTCTTTTGTCCACTTACTTTTTATACTCACATACGTATTGTATTTTGGGAGGAAACTTTGATATGCAAGAAGTCATGACTGATACAGTAGTTAGGTTTACTGAAATTCAAACAGTGCTTTAATAAAAGCTGTGTACCCCTAAAGTTATCTTCTGCATATTGCCCGCTTTTGGGGAACTGTTGGGCTGGGCAAAATGCCTTTTGTTTGTGAACCAGGAACCCAGAGCTGGGCAGATTCGTGCCAACTGCTTGTCCTGGACTTTGTATGGTGGAGGCCACCAGGGTTGGAGCCCAGGACAGCTCTAGCCCAAAGTGACAGACTCTGTGTGCCGTCGGGCTTCAGCGCGAGAGAGGAGCCAAGTCATAATCTAAGAGCTAGCACAGAACTGTTGATTTTGATGATGCGTCTGGTCTAAGACTTTACAATGTATAGACACCAAGCTGCTTGAACAAAGACATCATCTGTTGGGCCCTCAGCATCATCTTAGAGCTGTAGAAATTCTGGCTTGTCTGATAAAACCTAATACTTTAAAGGTGGCATAATTTAAAGAACCTGTTTCCTGTCCACCTCTTAACTGCAGGGGAAGGAAAACCTGTACAATGCTAGGATGTATTTGAGCTCATGTCTCGGGTTGGCCGGCCTGCCTGTCAGATGGGAGCTGATGGCAGGGCTGTCTGCCCTGTTCTGTGGGAAGGAAGCCTGTGCATTTAGTTTGTGGCCTAATCCTGTGTCTGTCTAATCAGGCTGTGAACCAGTAGGGAACTGCATGGGCTTGTGAGGAGAAAATATTTGTCATGTCTTCCATTTAACTAACCAGTCATACACTCAACATTTAAATAAAACTTTTTCTGCTGGTGGAGATTGCTTTTTAGTCTATCTTAGTGTATTCTTTGTTTACCTGTGGATGTATGGAAGATTAGGGAGACATTAAGATAGCCAGGCTATTCGGTGGGCGAGGCTTGGCAAATAGGCATTTTGGAGATTTGTCTTTTAAAAGGTCCACACACTAGTGTGTGTGTGACTGATTTGATCCGTTCATACACTGACTGCTATTTCATTTTGTGTTGTTTTTTTTTTTTTTTTGCTGCACACTTCTGGGGCACTGTTTCTGTCTTCCGGCTGGGACACCTTTGCCTTGACTGACCTCTCTGAGGGAAGGGGCTTCTTAACTGATGTCTGAGGAACGGGCTTTTGTCTGTGTTCCTGGTGATCATGGGGCCAGTTAACTGTAGGGAGATGAAAGCAGGCGAAGCTTAGAACTGCCAGCTCTCAGAAGGGCTGACAGCTCTTCTTTGATGATAGAAGGAAAAATGCTGTGACTGTCTTTTCAGGTGGTAACCAAAAGAGCCATGTCCCAGGGTTATCAAAGGTCATCCCAGGGGGAGAAATGACTGGTTCTGACTTCCTCCTTTTGGGCTACACCTCCCTTTCTGTGTGGTGGCAGAGATCAGCATGAGGTGACAAGTTTTGCTTTTTGCCCATTCAAGAAAGGGGGAGATGTCAAGGTGGCAATAACTTCCCTGCGCCTTACGTCAGAGCCTCTTTTGGATCCTTTGCTTGGAATGTGTGGGATGTAGTTGGGTCATCATGATTGAATGCCACTGGGAGAACTAGAATATTATTCCAGTTTCTCAACCCTCCAGTTTACATATGGATTTGGGGTTTTTTTTCTTGACTGTTTAGATCCTTAATTTGAAGGTCTTCTTACTTGGGCTGGACCAGCCATAGTGGACCATGTGTTTTAGCATCTACTGTGGGAATAGGTGTCGGGGAGGAAGTTCTCTGCTCTTGCTTTGCCCAGGGCAGTGGCCAGTCCTGACAGTTGCATGAGGCATGCCACCTCAGTTTGACTCCTGGTGGTACCATTTACAAGCTCAGCGAGCCTGAACAAGTTAACCAAGTTTCTTGGTAAAATGGAAGTCAGAGGTGTGCTTACCTTGAAGGGCTGTTGGAAGGCAGGAAGCCTCTGGAGTTGTGTGAACTGTGGCACTTAGTGAGAGCTCAGAAACTGCTTCTGTGCACTCTTAGCCTTGTTTCTGAGCAGCCTTTGTGCCTGATTGTCATGCTTCCTCTTAATCTGCAAGATCTGCTCGAAAGAGGACTCTGTTTTTTGTAGTTTGTGCTTTGAGCCTGGGTTAGACCACACAAGAATCCAAGGACTCCTTGCTTCTGTGTAGCGGGACAATTTGAGCTTTTCACAGGTAGGATTTTTAGAGTGAAGACAGATGGTGGAATGTAGGTGTCACCTGGCTGCAAACCATTAAAAGAAGATGATGGTGCATTGAAGGCATCAAAAATTGGTCCCTTGAGACCAGGAGCAAGAGATACAAAGACTGCCGAGTTGTGCAAGCTCAGACGGGCTACAGCCTTGGGTATGCAGAGGGACCTATGGTCTCATGCATGGCCAGCCAGGTGGCATCTATCATCAGGTGGACCCTGATGGTGGTTGGTGTTAAGTCTTCAGAGATACTTAACCCAGCTGGGATTGAAGTGAGCATAGGCTGCTCGACCAGATGGACTGACTGTGCCCCTGACATGTGGCAGTATGCTGAGCCATTGCCATGCTGTGGGTTGCTCTGCATCTCCCTGAAATCCTGGCCAGGTGTTCAAGCTGGGTCTGTGGGCCTGGGCGCCAGTGGCTGCAATCTTGCCCAGTAACGTGGTCTCCTGGGACACCTGGCATAGGAAGATTTTGGTGCAAATTGGCTTCAACAGCACGTTATTGTTGCTACCACAGCTAGAAGCATGTGTGGCAGTTGAGAGCCTCAGCGTCTCACTGCAGGTAGAACTGCTTGGCGGACTGCGTGATGGCCCCTCTGAGAGCCATCCTGTGCCACTCCTGGCAGCTCTGTGGGGGCTTTCTCTCATCCTGTCCTGGGGGAGCTGGCAGTGAGGAACTTCCAGGGCCACTAACCACAGGCTGCCTGGATCCTATGGGAGAGCCTCTCAGTACGAGAGACCCTGCAAGTGTTCACTCCGCTGCTGGGCTGGGTCTTTGGCTTACTTACTTGTCCTTTTAGCTTTCATCCCCTGGGAGTGTCTGGGTAGTGGCTTCATCCAGCCTCTTCTGAGTGGAGAACTCCCTTTACCATAGCACATACTGTGGTTACAGGCATGCCACCTCACTTCTGTTGCACCGCCCTTTGCTGTGATTTGCGATACTGTGTAATTCACAGATTGAAGGTTGGTGGCAACCCTGTTTCAAGCAACTCTCAGTGTCCTTTTTCCAACAGCATCTGCTTACTTTGTGTCACTGTGTTATATTTTGGTCATTCCCACAGTATTTCAAACTTTGTCAGTATTGTGTTTGTTGTGATCTGTGATCAATGAAAGTGCACTGAAGCTCAGTTGATGGTTAGCATCTTTTAGCAATAAAGTTATTTTTTAATTAGGTGTACATGTTTTTTAGACATAATGCTATTGCACATTTAACAGACCACAGTGTAGTGTAAATATAAATTTAATATGTACTGGGGACCCCAAAAAATTCATTTGACTCCCTTTATTGTGATACTTGCTTTATTGTGGTGTTTTAGAACTGAAACCACAGTATCTCTGAGATGCTCCTGTAATAATTTTAGGATTTCCTGCTCAAGAAACTCATAGTGACCAAACAGCTCTGTGTACTGAGAAATGTATAAATTCAGAAGGGTGTACCATAGCCTCATGTACAAAGGAGGTGTCCTTTGGCTTAAGGACAACGCCTTGCTGTAAATCTGGACCCTGCTTGGACTACATCCATCAGGTGGGAATGTGAGCTGGGTGATGTCCAGCACCCACTTTGGGCTCTGTATGGCCCAGCACAGGCTCTGGTGCGTTACCTGACAGCCTCCACATTGCTTTTTCTAGAATGCCTCCTTCTCTCTTCTGAAGAATTGTATGGATCTCATGGAAACCCCTAGGATGTGTCTGGAGAAATGAGAGTAAGGGCCCCTGGCCTGCAGCTCCCTAGGGGTGCAATGAGCCTTGGGGTATAGGCAAGATGGGATGGGGCTTTGTGCTTCCAATTGCATCGTCTCTTAACTGTAGGCCTGGTTGAGCCTTTCTCTGCCCACTTGGATTGGCAGGGCATCAGTGGACCAAGGCAGTCTCCCTCAGAGCCCTGC